GCCTTCAGTCTTATTTCGTAGATGGCTTGGGATATCCTTGCGATGTTGTCACAGTGAGGGCGGGTTGTCTCATTTGACACAGAGTCGGTGTACTTCAATCAAAGGATTGTTCTAAAGCAGTAGTAGTCAAATACCTTCAGGTTTCTTTCATATCCCACTTGCATAGTCCAGCATTCACAGCCGTAGAGAAGGACAGACCGAACGGATGCACGGTACACGCGAACCTTCGTGGCAATAGAAACATCGCATCGGGTCCATATGCACTTTAAAATGCTTGAGAAAACTCGACGAGTTGCATCGATCCGGGAGACAATGTCACCCTTACTCTGTTCATTCGGCAACAACCTCGCTCCAAGGTAATTGAAACTGTCTACCTCTTCAAGTTGACAGTCCTAATCTCGAGAGGTGACTTCTCTTGGGCAGGGATGCAGCATAAAAACACTTCAGTCCTCCCAAAGTTTATGGACAAACCGACCAATTTAGCGGCCTCGTTCACCCGTTGTACCATAGACTGTAGATTATCAAAGCTTGAAGCTAGTAAGACCATATCATCGGCGTACTCGAGATCACTCAACCGGCGCCCGTTTGCAAACTCAACACCGCCCTCTTCACGTAGGGCCTGTCCGAGCATCCAGTCCGTGACGTAGTTGAATACTATGGGTGACAAGATACCGCATTTTCGAACGCCAGACCGGATAGCCAATAGTTCTGAAAGGTTGTTGTGCAAAGAGTACTTTTATCTAATGCAGTTCCTGGTGGTGAACTTGGGTATGAATTCGAGACGTCGGACAACAACTCGTGTTCTAAAGATTGTTTCTCCCTACAAATGCTTCCCATAAACTAAAATTTGAGTGTTTTCGGGCAGTTTCCTAGCTTTCGATTGTCGGTAATTGAGGGGGGTGTATCGAAAAGGGTAAGACACCTGAACCGATCACTTTCGAGTTAATTATTAGTCAAAGCTAACTGTTGGATCTGAGGGTTAGGACGGGCTTAAGTTCAGAACTTTGCCGTATAATAAGACCCTTTTGGAATTTGGTTTGCCTTAAAACGACTCGCGTTCCAACCCGCCTTAGGGTTACGCACGACTAACCGGTTATTCTTCTCTTCGTTTTAAATGATAATAACTATTGATTATTGGATGACCTTCGCGTGCTGAAACCAAAGCATATTTCTGAAGGCCACTCTTGCACTATGCGCGGCTTGTACCTTCTACACATCAAGTCAACCGCGCGTGAAAAGCGAGTGGCCAAGGTCACAGACGCGCGTTCAGACCTACTTTGTGCTGATTGGTCACCCAGCAGGCTATGGCGTTTCTCCCGTGCTGTATTTCCCCACGAATTTGGAAAAAGTGCTAATTGCTTCTTTAGCAAAATCAAATTTTTCAAGTTCCACAGACGTTAGAAATACGCATAAATTAGACCAATAAAAGTAAATGCAGTCGTCAGCTGAAATCATAACTACACCATTTTCTACATATCAAAGAACCTTTAATTTTTCTTAAACTTGGCTTCACCTGCTGTTCATCAGCTAAAGCCTAGATTTTTCTGTTCTGTTAGGGATACATTTTAAACTTTTAGTGCTTATATTGGGGTTTCTCATAGCAAAACACATACAAATAAAAGGTTTGGTTTTGTCATAATAAATAGCAAAGGAAATTTGTTCGATATGAGGATTCCTCCGATCGCGCCAAACTTCTGCCTATTACCCTTAAATAAACCAAACTGAACGGACAGTTTTCCCTACTTAAAGGCTTTCTGTGGATCATATGCACTTATTAGATCAAAATAACTTGACCAAATATACGCTAAAGGACCAATTCCAACTTTGGTCTTGACTTCTCATGAATTGCCTCACCTAAAGTATCAACGGCAGTTGAGCCGATACACTGAAACCTTGTAGTTAACGTAGACAACGGGTGCACTTTGTGGAGCTCAGCATCCTTCCGCGGGATCATTTTGTTTATATAGGACGTTTTTACAGTAATTAATTTAGATCTGAGACTTAGAGTTCAATGCTCTCAAGAATGAATTTGGATTTTTAGGATGAGCCTCCTGAGTCAACTGAATACCCGGAGGTGTATTTTTATTCGCCAGATTCTTTAGATTATGAAGCATTCCGAGTTTAAGTTCATGCCCGAAAAGAGCTTCCTGAGTTTAATGGCGTGTTGTATAATTTATTAATCATTTTCTTTGTCCTTGTTTTTGGGCCTACCTTGGGGTTTTTCCGTGACCTCGCCACATAAACAACTGGGAAATTACAAATTTTGGGTGAACTCTCGTTATAGATGGTTCAGGGACGACGAACATCCTGCGGCCCGCAAATTGCCGACTACCTCGAAGACGACATCTGGGCCGCGAGCATCCTAGAGTGTGACTCTGCTACCAACGGTGAACTGCTGCGGCAACTGGAAACCGGCTGTCGTCTGGATCCGGACGCCTTCCGCATGGAACGTCTTCAACGCAGGCGCAACTGGCGCACTGTAGTTAACATGCCAAAGGAAACTCAGACCCGCAACCTGGGCTTCAGCCGAACAGGTGCCGATTCCGAATCCACTCTCACCGACACCACGTCACTCGGCTGTTCCGACGACCACCTAATCTCCCCCTCCCCATCATCGTCTGGCTGTCCGACATAGAAGCCCTCGTCCTACTCAGTCACGTCTACGCAGACGCTGCATCTTTGCTCTCCTGAGGAGTTTCCCTCTTTTTGAAAGTTTCATACACAACTGTCTCATCTCCTTACCTCTATCCCCCTTCCACCTTTCACTCTCAAACTTTCTGGTGCAGGGTTCCCTACTCAATGAAATACAACGGACGCATTTAAGTTACACAAGCAGCGTCGCTTGGCTTATCATGACGGTCACCATCGCCATATATATACACTTCTTTAAAGAGAAAGCTTCATACTTGACGTTAATGTGCTTGCCGCTTCCTAGTCTTTTATTTTAAAAGATAAGTGGATGCGTCTCCTGTGCGACCGGTGAAGTCACTTTTGTTCGCCTCCTTAACTTCCCAAAAGCCTGAAGATATATCGCAGTGGCAGTGGGAAAACTCTTGCCGCTGCAATCTTCAGGTCCAGTTCCGTAGAGAGAGAGGAGTGAAACGCCAGGTGGGGGGAATATTATATACCGTCCAGAGGCAGTAGAGTTGTGTACGGAGGAAGTCAGAGGAGCGTGTGTCTGCATCCGAGAGGGACAGTGGCCAGAGAGGGCGAGTGTAGCAGTCATCACCGTGAGGTCCTGTATGAGTCAGCCTTGCAGGTGATTGGCCAGACCTGATTGGGGCCGGCCTACAAGTGCGCACGTACTACCAACCGTGATAGGCAAGAGTTTGAGCGTTGCACTCGGAGTTGGATAACTACAGATACTGTATATACTGGCTAAAGAGCTCCTTGGATAACTGTTAATAATAGCTGAAGAGCGTCTCCAATAACTGTAAATATTTTCCAAAGAACTCTTCGAATAACTGTAAATAATGGCTGAAGAGCTTTCGTATTGCGGTGTTTTTGGGGTCAGAATTTATTTCGAAGGACAGTCAGATTACTCGAATAGTTGTAAATACTGCTGGCCTTTTCGTATTGCAGTGCTACGTTTTATCATCTGAATAGACGCACCCGAGGTCCGAAGCTATGTCAAAAGACAGTCGGGATAATCCGGATATTCTTTATTTGCCAAGAGACATTCCCCAGGGTAATTCGGTGTTTTTGTACAGAAATAAACAGTAAGATTAACCGTGCACGATAGGTAGGAAAATGCGAGGTTGAAATCAAAAGGAGGGTGGACATACATTTGAGGTGCTTAGACGAGCAGTCATTTTAATGACGCAGGAATTAAAGAACGAGGGAGCGAATAAGAGCGTGGTGCAGGAAACAGAGACCGTGAGGTGGATGTGAACAGAGGCAATTTTGTGCCGGAAAGGGGGAGCGATTTGCAAGCGTTTGAGGTCAGCGGTGGTGACAG